GATGAGGGGCTGATGTTGTTTTCAGGCTGGCTGATGACTGAAGCTCCCAGCCTCTCCTTTTCTATTTTTTTATTCTGGGATTTATTTACCTTCTATAATTGAAACTTTGTTGCCGTCACTGGAGCTGAGAGCCGGCTCCTGCCCGCTCCAGCTCTGAGGCTATGGCCTGCTGATAGCAGGTATCTGGGGTTTGTTTACCTTCTATAATTGAAACTTTGTTGCTTTCGGAGCTCAGAGCCAGTCCGCAGCAGGCGGGGAACTTTGGCTTCCTCCATCACTGGAGCAAGCAAGCCTCCTGCTCACTTCAGCTGCGTGGCTGCCGGCCGCCATCTTTGTTGGTGGTTAATTTGCATATCGCCCTGATTAGCCAATGGGAAACGTAGCAAAGGTACGGTCAATTACCCTTTTTGTCTTTTATTAGATAGGATATTTAAATGCCATTTAACAAAGAAAAATCAACCAAAGAAATGAGTTCCCGTGTCACCTCTGACACGTGTGTCATAGGTTTGCCATCAATGCTCTAGTCTATAATAATATAAGCACAATATGCTAATTAGACCAGACGTCCTTGCAGATGTCCTTCCAAATGACCTTCCAGGCAAAGCCAGGGCCGGAGGGAAGCCCAGGTCCTGGGTCCCGTAGGGAAGCTGGTGCCGGCAGCCAGGAGAAGGCAGGCCTACTCTTGCACGAATTTTGTGCACTGAGCCTCTAGTTATTAACGAACTACAACATTCACTAATGACTGATGACTCTCATTGTGTGGCATTCATCTCCCTTACGCGCAGGCACACCATTGCTCTCTACTGACACCAGAAGCGAATATTCTAGCAGCCAATGGCCACATGTTTCGTCTTGGACTGACTTGCTGGGTATGTACAGCAGGAAATACTTTGCTTTCGGAGAACAAGAAAAATAGGTTTATTTGCGTGATGCTTACTCATCTTTGCAGTTACTCAGTGTCTGGTAAGTTCCTGTTCAAAAGAAAAATATTCATTTTTATTAAAATGTCCTATTATTTTGTGTTAACGACGACTCATTTATTTCAGCCCTTTGTATTCAGTGTCTCTATTGAGATAAACCTACATCTCTACGAAAATGGAAGCTTTGTTTTTTGTGGCCACATCCACTTACACCTTTTTATCTGGCCCGTGGGAGCCTGTGTGACCTGCTCGGGCTGCACCCTGTCCCTCTGGGGTTCTATGGGGGGTCCCCTGCTCAGGACTGATGACGGGATGGACTAAATTAAATGCCAGAGGCGCTGGATTTAACCGCCAGTCCCTCTACCAACCGGAAGTCAGGGGGTGGGACCCAAAGTCCCAGCCCGCCAATCATAGGGTCGGTTCTCACGACGACCCGCCCAGTTCCCAGGAGCTTCCCAAAAGTCCCCCGTTCACACCACCAAGAGGCCCCTTCACTGTCCACACCTGGGGCGCTCCCAGGGCTGGGGGGGCGGGGGAGGGGCGGGGCCGGGAGCCCATCCGTGACGAAGACCAAACACATTTCGGTCACCAAAACAATCAAATACTCATTTCTTAGAAATCACCACCTTCCAGAATTTCCATCGCTCAAGTCAGCACTCGAGGCCACACCCCCGCCCCTGCCCCCTGGACACAGAGACCTCGAGGCGACACCCCTGCCCCCTGGACACAGAGACCTCGAGGTGACACCCCTGCCCCCTGGACACAGAGACCCCCGAGGCGACACCCCTGCCCCCTGGACACAGAGACCTCGAGGCGACACCCCTGCCCCCTGGACACAGAGACCTCGAGGTGACACCCCTGCCCCCTGGACACAGAGACCCCCGAGGCGACACCCCTGCCCCCTGGACACAGAGACCCCCGAGGCGACACCCCTGCCCCCTGGACACAGAGACCTCGAGGCGACACCCCTGCCCCCTGGACACAGAGACCTCGAGGCGACACCCCTGCCCCCTGGACACAGAGACCTCGAGGCGACACCCCTGCCCCCTGGACACAGAGACCCCCGAGGCGACACCCCTGCCCCCTGGACACAGAGACCCCCGAGGCGACACCCCTGCCCCCTGGACACAGAGACCCCCGAGGCGACACCCCTGCCCCCTGGACACAGAGACCCCCGAGGCGACACCCCTGCCCCCTGGACACAGAGACCCCAAGGCGCACCCCTCGCCCCCGGCGGTCACGGGCCTGACGCAGAAACCCGGGCTCCTGCTCGGAGGAGGGGGCGGGGCAGGAGGCGGGGGGCGCAGCACCCACCTCGGTCGGGCTCCTGGGCGACGGGGCGGGAGGGGGCGCCGCCGTCACCGCCGGGCCCAGCCGGGCCTCCGAGCAGCGGGGACACCACCCCCGCCCCCGCGCGCTCTGTCCCGCGGCACCGCCCCAGCTCCGCCGCCTGAGAAACAGAGAAGAATCCAACTCACAGCCCCAGCGCCACGGCCAGGGGACGCCGCCGGAAGTCCCGCCTCCAGCGCGCGTGGGCACGTAAACGGCTCCATGCTAAACTCTCAATGGCCCTTCTGGCTGTCATCGGTCGCCGCAGAGCCTCCTGGGTAACGTAGTTTTTCCACTGATTCTTTCTCTGGTTCCCTCACAGTTTGGGGGATAAAGGCCCACCTATGACGCGAGGGGCGCTGGGAAGTGGCGGTCCCAGTCTCCAAGGATGCGGTGGGGCTTAGGAGCTCTTAAAGGGGACGTACCCGTTTCCCTGGGGTGCAGTCTAGCGCAAGTGTCAGAAATAGACATTTGAGCCCTAGCTGGTTTGGCTGAGTGGGTAGAGCGTCTTCCTGGGGACTGAAGGGTCCCAGGTTCCAATCCCGTCAAGGGCACCTGCCTGAGTAGGGGGCTCAATCCCCAGGGCCTGCAGGAGGCAGCTAATCAATGACTCTCTGTCATCATTGATGTTTCTAGCTCCCTCTCCCTTCCTATGAAATCAATAAAAGTATATTGAAAAAAGAAATAGAAGACGGGGGTAAGGGAGAGAGATCAACCAAAGGACTTGTATGCATGCATATAAGCATAAACAATGGACGTGGACAACAGGGGGTGAGGGAGAGGGCAGGATTGGGGGTGTGGGGGGACAATGGGGGGATAAGGACACATTTATTTTTAAAATATATTTTATTGATTTTTTACAGAGAGGAAGGGAGAGGGATAGAGAGTTAGGAACATCCATTAGAAAGAAACATCAATCAGCTGCCTCTTGCACACCCCCCACTGGGGATGTGCCTGCAACCAGGTACATGCCCTTGACCGGAATCGAACCTGGGACCCTTCAGTCCGCAGGCGGACGCTCTATCCACTGAGCCAAACCAGTTAGGGGAGGACACGTTTATAATACCTTAATCAATAAAGAAAAAAAGAAAAAGAAATAGACATTTGAGCCCTGGCCCCATAGCTAAGTTGATTAGAGTCACCTTGCATATGTCCCATATGCCAAGATTGTGGTTGGCTCCCCGGTCAGGGCCTATACAAGAAGCAACTAGTGGCCCTGGCTGGTTTGGCTCAGTGGATAGAGTGTCGACCTACAGACTGAAGGGTCCCAGGATCAATTCCAGTCAAGGGCACATGCCTGGGTTACAGGCTTTATTCAATGTGCAGGAGGCAGCCAATCAATGATTCCCTCTCATCATTGATGTTTCTGTCTCTCTCTTCTTCTCCCTTCCTCTCTGAAATCAATAGAAATATATATTTTTTAAAAAGCAACCAGTGAATGCATCAATAAATGGAACAAGAAACCAATGTTCCTTTCCCTCTAAAAAAATGATTCAATCAATAGATTTTTAAAAGTTAAAAAATAAAAATCCGGGAAGTTGTATTGACTTTCCACACTGGATATCATCATTAGGTCTCTGCTCCCAAAGCAGCTGTTGAGCCTCTGTCTCAATCAGGAATGTTCCATGAACAAAGGGGTGAAAGAAGGTGGGTGAGACAACCCTGGAAGCTGTGAAACAAAGTAAATGAAATGCAGGCAGGAACTACAAGGAGTTTTGTATACTATTTCTGCAGAACGAGGAACTGTGAGGAGAAGCAAACTGCCAGGGAAGTGTAATTGAAAAAAGAAGTATGCACTTAGTTATAATTTCTTTCAGATACAAAACAATTTTTATAAGTATGCCCATGCAATATTTATCTCTTATCTCAGTATGCATATGGAATCTATATATATAAAATCCTAATATGCAAATTGTCCCCTTGGGAGTTGGACTGGGAGTGCGATTGCTATGACATGCACTGACCACCAGGGGGCAGCGTGGAACGAAGGAAGGCTCCAGCTGGCCACTGGAAAGCCCTGATTGGCCCTGATCCCCGGCCAGGCCTAGAGACTCTACCTGTGCATGCATTTCATGCACCAGGCCTCTAGTAAGAAATTATTCCAATTTTACTGGTCCAGACGTTATTCACAATATGGCAAGCCTACTTTCTTAAAATAATTTTTTTTAAAAAAGCTATGTCATTCAATTGATTCTAGAGAGGAAGGGAGAGGGAAACGTCCATGAGAGATACATCAATCGGCTGCCTCCTGCACACCCCCGACTGGGGATTGAGCTGCAACCGGGCATGTGCCCTGACCGTGCATACAACTAACTGCTGACCTCTTGGTGCATGGGACTGTGCTCAAAGGAGCCACACAGGCCAGGGCTGAAAGCCGACTTTCCACATGACTATAGCTAGTAACCCATTCATCCTGCTACTCAGCCCTTCAATGTAAGTTCTGCTGGTTGGGAGGCATTTGTTCTTAAGGAGAAAGCTTCCATCAGAAGAAGAAGAATACTGTTTTTTAAAAAGAATAGTTTATTGCCCTGACAGGCGAGCTCAATGGTTAGAGTGTTGGCCCTGGCACCAAAGGATCAGGACCTTGCAGGAAGCAACCAATCGACGTGTCTCTGTCACATCGATGTTTCTCTGTCTCTCTAAAAAACAAAACAAAAAAAAACACACCTTCAGATTTAAAAACAAGAGACATTACTAGAAGAAAGAAGTCATATAAGAAGAGACAAATCTATATGCTGTGTACAAGGCAGATGATTCAAAATTTTTTATTGATAATGAATTCATATGAAACTGAACTTGTGTGTTAGGGTTAAACTTCACTTTCCCACTCTAAACAACTCTTCTCAGAGTGATTGTCAGAATGTAGAAGCACCGTGTTGTTTATACGTGTGCCACTGCGATAACACAGAGCCGTGCTTATTATTGGATGCGATGCTTTTGCACACACAACATGGATAATCCTAAAATGTATATATATATGTATGCGCTTAGTAAAAGCAGCTATACAAGAGTAACTGTAGGATTTATTTTATACAGTTCTAGAAATGCAAACTATAGTGTGTATCTGGGGATGACCAGTTGGGCAGAACTGGGAGAGACTATAAAGGGGCCAATGAAAACTGGCCCTGGCCGTGTAGCTCAGTTGGCTATTGCCTCATCCCGATACGCCAAGGTTGTGGGTTCAATCCCCTAGTCAGGGCACATACAAGAATCAACCAACGCATGCATAAATAAGTGGAACAACAAAATCAATGTTCCTTCCTCCGTAAAAATCAATACTTAAGAAAGAAAACTACAGGCTGATGGATATGTTCATTATCATGACTTTGGTGATGGTCCCCTTGTGTACACACATATGAAAATATATTTTACACTTTAAAAAAAATGCCATTTATGTTAATGTATCAATAAAACTGTTAAATAAAGAGTCCATACAAAATCTAGCTCTCCCTTCCTGTAGAAATATCCTAACATCTGGCAAAGCTCTACTGATTCCAGCAGCGCCATTCCTCATGTCTTAGGTGGGTCAACCCTGATTCCTTCTCAAACTAGAAGGAAATGCTGACAAATGCTTCAACGTGGGGAAATTATGCTCAGAAAAGCAACCAGTCATGGAAAGACAACTGCTGTATGACTCCACTTATATGAAATATCCTCAGGAATCAAATTCAGAGAGACAGAAAGCAGAATGTGGTTGCCTGGTGCAGTAGGGCAAGGGTAGGAGGAGCTGTTTCATGAGTATGGAGTTTCAGTTTTACAAGATAAAAAAAATACTGGAGATTAGTTACACAAATATGTGAATTTTGTGTGTGTGTGTGTGTGAATTTTTAACATGACTAAACTGTGCCATTAAAATGCTAGAGGGTAAACTTTGTTACAGGCATTTTAACCACAATTAAAAACGTAAAATTAAGACTAAAAACTACATTACAGTAGTTCCTGGGGATAAATTAGAGCAGACATTTGGCTGAAGTCCTTCACCATTTGCTATACTCTCTCTGAGATGAATCTTTGGTGCCAGAGTGTGGCTGGAGGTTTGGCTGAGCACGTGCCCATATTCACTGCACTCACAGTCTTTCTCCATCATGAAATCTCTGATGTGTCACGGGATGGGAGTTGCACTTAAAGGCGTTCTCGCATTCACCGTATTCCGAAGGCCCTAACCCAGTGTGAACTCGTAAGTCCCTTCTCCAGGGGAATGAGTTTAGCGTGGTATCCAGAAGGTTTACCGTCTTCTCTGCACTCCTGAGCTCCTTGCCGGCATGAATTCTGTTTAATGAGGTTGGAGCTGTAGCCGAAGAATTTCTCACCTTCACGCCTCTCACAGGCCTGTCTTGGCTGTGGATTTTCTGGTGATGAACAAGGTGGGACTTCCGAACGAAGGCCTTCTGACATTTGCTGCATGTGTAGGGCCTTTCTCCAGTGTGGATTTTTTGATGCTCAACAAGTATGTGTCTGTGGCTAAAGGCTTTCCCACACTCGCTGCACTCATAGGGCCTCTCTCCAGTGTGATTTCTCCAATGTTTCAGGAGGCTGGAGTTGTACCGGAAGAATTTCCCACATTCACTGCACTCGTATGGCCTCTCTCCAGTGTGAACTCTCTGATGTCTGAGGAGTCTGCAGTGGTACGTAAAGGCTTTCCCACATTCGCTGCACTCGTACGGCCTTGCCCCGGTGTGATTCTGCCAATGTTTAACGAGCTTGGACTTGTACCTAAAGAATTCCCCACATAAGCTGCACTCGTAAGGCCTTGCGACAGTGTGAACTCTCCGATGTCTGAGGAGCGTGGACGTGTAGCGGAAGAACTTCCCACATTCGCTGCACTCGTACGGCCTTTCCCCGGTGTGGACTCGCTGATGTTTGACGAGCGTGGAGTTGGACTGGAAGAACTTGCCACATTCCCGGCAACCGTAAGGCCTTTCTGCGGTGTGAACCCGCTGGTGCCTCACGAACGTCGAGCTGTACCTGAAAAACTTCCCGCATTCCCCGCACTCGTAGGGCCTTTCTACAGTGTGAACTCGCCCGTGTCTGACGAGTCTGTAGTTGTACTTAAAGAACTTCCCACACAATCGGCACTCGTACGGCCATTCTCCATTGTGAATGCTCTGATGTTTCACGAGGTTGGCTTTGTACTTGAAGAGTTTCCCACATTTGTTGCACTCAGACGGGCCTGACTCGGTGTGGACTCTCTGGTGGCCCATGAGGGTGGACTTGTACCTGAAGGATTTGCCACACTCGCTGCACTCGAAGGGCCGTTCCCCAGTGTGGACCCGCTGGTGCTGCACGAGGTGGAACTTCCTGAGGAAGGCCATGCCACACTTGCCGCACGCGTGCGGCCTCACTCCCGTGTGGATTTTCTGGTGCTGCACGAGGATCTGTTTCCGGCTGAAGCCTTTCCCACACTGAGAGCACCTGTGATCATTCCGTCCCATTTCCAAGGTCTCTCTGTACTTGGTGCCCCCCCGCGGCTTCCATCTGTTGTGAGGAGCCCAGTGCTGCAGGAGCCCCGGGGCGGCTGGGAAGCCCTCCCCAGCTTCGCTGCACAGGAAGGTCTTCTCTGCCAGGGGGACGCTGCCCCTTCCGGAGGCGTGGTCTCCCGGCTGCTCCAGATGCTGCTGGTAGAGATCTGTCCCACAGATGGGTAGGCCCTGATCGGGGTACATTCCATCACGCTCAGCCAGTTGCAAAATGCCTTTCGTCTCACAGGGCTGGGCCTTGTGGGTGGACGGGTCTGGCTTTGGAGTCCTGACCTGTGATTCTCCCACAGAATCTCCTTGCTCCAAAGGTGCCTCCTCACCCTGGGCGCCATGCCAACTCCCTGGAAGCAGAGAAATGGCAGTGACGTGCATGTTGATTTTGGTGGGAGGGGGTGGGCCCATTAGAAATGTGTGTCAGAGCCCCAGCTGGTTTGGCAAAGTGGGTATAGGGTCGGCCTGCGGACTGAAGGGTCTGGGTTCAATTCAGGTCAAGGGCACATGCCCGGGTTGCAGGCCTGATCCCCAGTAGGGGGCGTGCAGGAGGCAGCCAATCCATGATTCTCTCTCATCATTGATGTTTCTATCTCTCTCTCCCTCTCCCTTCCTCTCTGAAATCAATTTAAAAAAATAAATATATTTTAAAATAAATAAATAAAACATATTAATTCTTTAAAAAAATATATTGTAGTTCAAGGACGATTTAAGGCTACGTGCAGACCTCATGACAGCCTGAGTGTGGTCAAGTGTAAAGGGAGCAGGGAAGCTGAATGGGAAGTGTGGCTGGTGTGTGGCAGGAAGGGATTACAGGTCAGAGCAGAAATGAAAGTGGGGGGCGGGAGTAGAAACGAGCTGCAGCCACTGGTCCTGGCATTAAACAGTGATGAAAAGCGAGCGGGTAGCCCTGACTGGTGTGGCTCAGTGGCTAGAGCGTCGGCCTGTGGACTGAAGGGTCCCGGGTTCAATTCCCATCAAGGGCACACGCCCATGTTGTGGGCTCGATCCCCAGTAGGGGGCGTGCAGGAGGCAGCCGATCCATGGTTCTCTCTCATCATCGATGTTTCTATCTCTCTCCCTCTCCCTTCCTCTCTGAAATCAATAAAAAAATAAATAAATAAATAAAAGATTCCCATCAAGAGGCAACCGATCAATAAACCTCTCATCTTTGATGTTTCTCTCTCTCTCCCTTCTCCTTTCCTCTTTGAAATCAATAAAATATATTTTTAAAAAATTATCAGAACTTCACAGCAGAGACAGTCGAAATAACCCAGTGGTCCCTAAAATTAGCAACTATGTTGGGGCTTAAAATTCTTGACTCAGGCGGATCCCAAGAAATGTCAGCACGAGGAGGGGCAGGGCCTGGGCACCGAGGTCCCAGGATATGGCCTGAGTGACCCCCCAGGGAGACCAGCTCTGGGGGAACCCATGGGGCATCTCTCACAACCTTCATGATTCCCAAGTCCCCAGCCCCGTCTCGCGAGGACTCAGAGCAGCACGGACAGGGCTGCGTGGGGACAGCGGGGACAGCGCACGGGGCCCGGCCTTGGCACCAACAACACGGGTGCCAGGAACCAGGAGAGGCAGCAGTGCCCACGGTCTCCGGTGGGAAGGGCAGAGCCTCCCTGGGAAAGCGAAGGACGGAGCCCAGCCCGGGGCCCCGGGGGGGTGCGAGGGCCTTACCCACGGAGCACAGAAGGGCCACGTTCTCCAGCATCACGTTGTGGTACAGGCGTCGCTGGGCCTCATCCAGGAGCCCCCACTCCTCCCCGGAGAAGCGGATGGCCACGTCCTCAAAGACCACACGGCCCTGGGAAGGGGGACAGCTCAGCCCAGGAGCAGTTTCTTTCTTTCTTTTTCTTTTTTTTATTAATTTTTTACAGGTTCTTGACTTGAACCTCAAGTCACGTTTTTCTTTTATTTTTTAAAATATATTTTTATTAAAAATATATATATATTTTTTATTGTTTTCAGAGAGGAAGGGAGGGGAAGAGAGAAACATCAATGATAAGAGAGCATCATGGATCGGCTGCTTCCTCCCACGACCCCCACTGGGGATCGAGCCCACAACCCGGGCATGTGCCCTTGACCTGAATTGAACCCGGGACCCTTCAGTCCGCAGATCGATGCTCTATCCACTGAGCCACACCGGCCGGGGCAGCGGCCACCACTCTTGCGTGGCCCCTGGGGAAACTCGCCTGGACGGTTACAGGAAGTTCCTGCCAGGTCTCCCCGCCTTCTTCACACCCCGATTCTCTTCCCTCGGCAGCCAGAGGGGGCCTGTTAAAGTTTGGGTCATAGCACCTTCCAAGCTTCCCACCGACCTCAGATCAGAGGCCCGGGGCCTCAGGCTGTCATTCCAGGCGGGAGACCTGTGCTCCCCTCCCCACCCCGCACCGGGCTCCCCGTTCCCACCAGAGAGAACGGAGACCTGCAGGTCCCTTAACCTCCCAGCTGAACCGCCCCTGCTTGCATCTGAACACGCCAAATCCTGTGCCTAGGACTTCCTGGGACGTCTTTTTGTTAATTTCATTTTATTGACTTTTGGAGAGAGAGGGAGAGAGCCCTAGCCAGTGTGGCTCAGTGGATAGAGCGTCAGCCTGCAGACTGAAGGGTCCCGGGTTTGATTCTGGTCAAGGGCACAGGCCCGGGTTGTCGGCTCGATCCCCAGTGCGGGGCATGCAGGAGGCAGCCGATCCATGATTCTCTCTCATCATGGATATTTCTCTCTCTCCCTCTTCGTTCCTCTCTGAAAGAAAGAAAGAAAGAAAGAAAGACCTGCTCCATATGACCTGGGCCTGGAAACAAAATCCTGGGCCTGGTGAATGCACAGGGTCTTCAGACTCAAGGGAGGGAAAGAGTGAGAGACGGTTCAGGACGCTCCCCTTCCCTGAGGGCATAGGGCAGTGATGGTGAACCTTTTGAGCTTGGCGTGCCAGCATTTGGAAAAACCCTAACTGAACTCTGGTGCCGTGTCACATACAGAAATTTTTTGATATTTGCAACCATAGTAAAACAAAGACTTATATTTTTGATATTTATTTTATATATTTAAATGCCATTTAACAAAGAAAAATCAACCAATAAAATGAGTTTGCGTGTCACCTCTGACACGCGTGTCATAGGTTCGCCATCACTGTCATAGATACATGGAAGCGCCAGAACCACGGGGTGGTCGCCGGGATGGCTGAGCACAGACACGCCCTCCACTCACCTGTACAGGGTCCGTGAGCATTGCTGCCGCCGCCGTGGGACCCTGTGGGAAGAAGGCGGCCGTGAGAATGGGGTCGCCAGGGTAGGGCCCTACAGGCCGTGCTGGACCCCGACCCTGCCAGGCAGCCACGCGATCTCCGCCTGGTGGTCCGAGCCCAGCCCCTCAGCAAGCCGTGCCCCCTCCCATTCACAGCAGCTGAGACCTGGACGCAGCCCACGTGCCATCAGGAGACCAGTGGGTACAACAGCTGTGGGACGTTGACACCACGGGATGCTCTGCAGCTGTGAAAACGAAGGACCTCCAGCCCCGGCCGGTGTAACTCTGTGGATAGAGCGTCGGCCTGCAGACTGAAAGGTCCTGGGTTCGATTCTAGTCAAGGGCACAGGCCCAGGTTGCAGACTTCTCCCCAGCCTGGGGCCCTGGTCGGGGTGCGTGCAGGAGGCAACCAATCCATGTGTCTCTCTCACATCGATGTTTCTTTCTTTCCCTCTCTCTCCCACTCTCCCTAAAAATCAACGGGAAGCCCTAACCAGTTTGGCTCAGTGGATAGAGCGTCAGCCTGCGGACTGAAGGGTCCCGGGTTCGATTCCGGTCAAGGGCATGTACCTGGGTTGTGGGCACATCCCCAGTGGGAGATGTGCAGGAGGCGGCTGGTCGGTGTTTCTCTCTCATCGATGTTTCTAACTCTCTATCTCTCTCCCTTCCTCTCTGTAAGAAATCAATAAAATATATTAAAAATAAATCAACGGGAAAATATCCTTGGGTGAGGATTCACAAACAAACAAACGAAACATCGATGATGAGGGAGAATCATGGATCGGCTGCCTCCTGCACGCCCCACTGGGGATGGAGCCCACACCCGGGCCTGTGCCCTTGACCAGGAATCGAACCGTGACCTCCTGGTTCCTAGGTCGACGCTCAACCACTGAGCCACACCTGCCGGGCTGTTTATTGAGTTAGAGCAGCGGTTCTCAACCTCGGCTGCACATGAGACTCGCCTGGGAATCTTTTTAAAATCCTGATTTCTGGGCCTCCTCCTCCAGAAATTCTGTTTCTTTGTGATGGGGGGGTGGGGGGAGGCACAACATTCGTAACAAAGAAACAGAATTTCCGGAGGAGGAGGCCCGGAAATCAGGATTTTAAAAAGATTCCCAGGCGAGTCTCATGTGCAGCCAAGGCTGAGAGCCACTGATTTAGAGAAAGAGAAAGAGAGAGAGAGAGAGAGATTAATGTGAAGGAGAAACATAGACGTGTGGCCTCCGGATCCCGGCCCTTCGCGGCCCCGCCCTCCCCGCCCCCGGGAGGCCCCGGTGGGTCGGTCAGCCCAGCGGATGGAGCGCCCGCCGCGGACTGAAGGTCCGGGGTCCGGGGTGGGGGGTGTTGGCGGCCGGTGCCTGACTCTCTCATCGCGGATGTTCTCTCTCTCCCTCTCCCTTCCTCTCCGAAATCAATAAAAATATAGATCAAAAGAAAAAAAAACCTGGGATCTTGCTTTCCGCCTTACTTTCGCTCCCAACTGTTTTTGTTTGTTTTGTTGTTTTTGGCAACAGGAAGCCCTGGCGGCTGGAAGTTTCCTAGGTTCTCATCACAGTCCCCGGCGCCCCCCGCCCCTGCCCCCTGGACACAGAGACCCCGAGGCGCACCCCTCACCCCTAAACAGAGACCCCGAGGCGCACCCCTCACCCCTAAACAGAGACCCCGAGGCCCACCCCTCACCCCTGCCCCCTGGACACAGAGACCCCGAGGCGCACCCCTCACCCCCGCCCCCTGGACACAGAGACCCCGAGGCGCACCCCTCACCCCTAAACAGAGACCCCGAGGCCCACCCCTCACCCCTGCCCCCTGGACACAGAGACCCCGAGGCGCACCCCTCACCCCCGCCCCCTGGACACAGAGACCCCGAGGCGCACCCCTCACCCCCGCCCCCTGGACACAGAGACCCCGAGGCGACGCACTCCGCCCCTGCCCCCTGGACACAGAGACCCCGGCTCCCCAGGGCTCAGTCCGCCCCTTAGGGAACGCGGCCCCCCGCCCGCCCCCCGACGCCGGACAGGGGCCTGACGAGGGACCCGGGATCCTGCTCGGAGGAGGGGGCGGGGCGGGGCGGGGGGCGCAGCACCCACCTCGGTCGGGCTCCTGGGCGCGGCCCCGCCGCGGGCCTGAGGGAGGACCGGGGCGACGGGGCGGGAGCGGGGCGTCGCCGTCACCACCGGGCCCAGCCGGGCCTCCGCCGCCTCAGCTCCCGCTCTTCCTCCCGCCCCGCCCCTCCCCTCCGAGGCGCTGACCCCGGGCTAAACCCCGTCAAAATGACAATCAGAAAAAAAAAAAACAAAACACGCCGGAAGTCCCGCCTCCAGCGCACAATGCGCACGTAGTCCGCGCGCCTCTCCTAAGCCCTCATTGGCTCAGTTGCTCCTCGCACACCGAACAGACTTCTGGGTATTGTAGTTTCCGCTGCCGCCGCCACCTGTCAGGTCTCCGTCCGTAAGTCACTCCCAGTGGCGGATAAAGGCCGAGTGCCGGGTCAGGGGCGCCGGGAATGGAGTTAGTTCCGGGCTCCGAAAGGAGGGTGGGCTCCGCGGGCTCTTAAAGGGGACGTGCCCAGGTTTCTCGGGAGGCGGTTCAGGAAGCCACCAAGGTTAGAGGCCTGTTATTCTCAGACCCGCCCCACCAGGCCCGGCACGTTCCCACTCACAGCTGTCAGCTATCTTGGGGCTTTGCAGATACGCATGCTCTGCAGAACCAAGACGGTGGCGGAGGTGAATGCCGGTACACACGGCTCCTGGAACCGCAGCACAATTACAACTAAAACACAGAACCGCCTGACAGCGAGCTGAGTGGAAGTCTTACTTCTAGAGAAATAAGGACGAGGGCACACAGGAGGGGTGGAGGCGCCGAGCTATCCACGCGCTTTCCATTCACTTCAGTGCGGACTCCGAGGAAGCTCTGGACCTCTGAGCAGGCCCCAACCCCACTGAAACACTTCACGTCACTAACCAGGTCTCTGAAGCCCCGCCCCCAGGCTGTACATCACAATCTGGCCCTTGAAGCCCCGCCCCCAGGCTGTGTGTGTGTGTGTGTGTGTGTGTGTGTGTGTCGTTATCAGGCCCCTGAAGCCCCGCCCCCAGGCTGTGCGTCACTAAAGGACATCCAAACCCCGCCCCCACGCCTTGCACGCAGTCTGAGCTCTCATTGGTCAGTCGCCTCCGCCTCCGCACTGCCTTCTGGGTAACGTAGTTCCCTCGCCGTGCCCTGCGCTGTCTCAGAAGCAGGTCATTCCTGACCGTGAATACCGGCCAACCGGCAAAGGGAAGGGCGCTGGGGAACCGAGTTCCAGGGCCCGATCGGGGCCCGGCTTCGCTGGCTCTGGAAGCGGCTCCGCTCAGGTTTCCTCGGTCTGCGGTCCAGGGACTCGCAGAGACCGTTCAGGGAACTCGGGGGGTCGCGGCCGGTTCCCGAAGGCTGCGCTCGGGAAGGGGCAGCCCCCTCATGGCTGTCGGCCACCGAGTTGTCAGAGGCGCACTGAGGCTGTGGAGCTTTCTGAGCACCAGCAGGTTTGTCGGGGACAGTAAGACACGCCCCCAGGCAGGGCTATGGGGGGTCGGGGTGACAGGACCCCCTAACACCCCCCCGAAGTGGTCAGGATGTCGCTGTGCCTCGGCTGTCCCGCCTGTGTGGCTAGTGATGGTGTTCCAATGGAGGGAGCCACGTTTTAAAAATTAACGGAGTACATTTTATTTTTCCAGTTGCTCTTTTTATTTTTAATATATATATTTTTTATTCATCTCAGAGAGGAAGGGAAAGGGAGAGAGAGAAACATCAATGATGAGAGAGAACCATTGATCGGCTGCCTCCCGCACACCCCGCACTGGGGATCAAGCCGGGAACCGGGCATGTGCCCTGACCGGGAATCGAACCGTGACCTCTTGGTTCCTGGGCTGAGGCTCAACCGATGAGCCACACCCGGCTGGACCAGGGAGCCACATTTTAATGCAGGTCTTCATCACTCCACGTCTGAGGCATTTCCCACTTAGGAATCTGAAAGCTCTCCGCGAGGGACTTCTCTCTCCTGTGTGCACAGCCTGTGCCTTTCTGACAACTTGCCCGCGTGTGCAAAGGGAGCACCTTACCTCTGCGATGCAGGTTTGGGTGTCTGATCCGCCTCCTGCCTGGGAAGTGGTTCATCGTTGCATCTGTAATTGTAGTGACAATGTCTGCCAGGGCGTTGAGGTTCTCTCTGGGAAGACACTTATGAAGTGGGTATTACTCAGTGTTAATAATAGTAATGACTTGGTTGTTTTCCGAGGAAAGTGACAGAAATGGGTCTAGAGCAGCGGTTCTCAACCTGTGGGTCGCGACCCCTTTGGCGGTCGAACAGCCCTTTCACAGGGGTCACCTCAGACCATCCTGCATATCAGATATTTACATGACGGTTCATCACAGTAGCAACATGACAGTTATGAAGTAGCAACGAGCATAATTTTATGGTTGGGGGTCACAACATGAGGAACTGTATTTAAAGGGCCAGAAGGTTGAGAACCACTGTTCTAGAGGAATATGTGACAAGTTGGAGGGAAAAAAATAGGATTTCAGGGCCCGTTGAGTGAGAGGCACTGAGTGTGAAAAGTCAGAGAATGACACTGAGACCGTGGCTTGCTGAAACCCTGGCCACACTCAGGGTTTTGTCCCCAAATGTGATCCTCCTATATAACAAAAGGCTAATATGCAAATCAACTGAACGGTGGAACGACTGGTCGCTATGATGCGCACTGACCACCAGGGGGCAGACGTTCAACGCAGGAGCTGCCCCCTGGTGGTCAGTGTGCTCCCACAGGGGGAGCGCTGCTCAGCTAGAAGCCGGGCTCACAGCTGGCGAGCCTCTCCCGCCTCCGTGGCAGCGCTAAGGATGTCCGACTGCTGGCTTAGGCCTGCTCCCCATAGGGAATGGACATCCCCCGAGGGCTCCTGGACTGCGAGAGGGCGCAGATGGGGCTGAGGGAACCCTTCTCCCCTGCTGAGTGCATGAATTTCGTGCACCAGGCCTCTAGTTTTTAATACTTCTAAAATATTGCACATTAACAGGTTGGAGGGAAAAGTAAAAACGATATTTAAAAAGTTGCCAGAAAGGTAAAAATGAATAGGAGAGTTATGTATTTACTCATCTACAAATATTCAACGAGCACTTAGGTTTACAGGCACAACAGTAGTGCATGGACCACACCAGGCATAGGGCTGCCTGTACTGACACTGTCAGGATGCCCTAAATACCCTGTATTTGGTTTTTTACAATACATTACAGAAAGTCAGAAGTTAGAACTATTATTTTTTTTCTCCCTGCAACTGGCAATTAAATCACTTAGTGGCAACACTAGCTCAAAACCACATCTGCACAAAGAACCGTGGGGATGTGCCTTATGGGCTGTCTCT